AATATATATTACTATTGGTTGGTTTCTTTCTTCTCTTTTTTTTTTTTTTTCTTTTGTATAAACGTCGTGGAATGAGACAGGTCTCGACTCGAAGAGGTACTCGGCGCACAACTATAGAGCATTCTACCCGTTTATGTCAGTATCGGTATGTCGCACGATACCGTTTTATATTTCTGTGAATCCCTGTCACTGCTGTACTCGCGGATAAACGAATGATTTTATTCCTTTTGTGTTGGAGTTGGTATTCTAGTAATATCTAGTAATATAGTGAGTTTTCCAACGTCGATATTTTTTAATGATCGCGGTTTCAATCACCAAGCCGATAGACCCGATATTATGTAATGTGTGTTTTCCATTAAATACGCTTCCATTCTTCATTGTCCCGTTATATTCTTTAATTTTTAATCAACTCTTTAATTATTCGTAATATGCAATTTTTATTTATATAAATAATATTTTTTTAATGCTAATATATATTTTTATTGAGAAAGGGTTATAAGGTTTTTCACGAATTCGAGAAAAGCGACAAGGGCCATCACGACGAGGAAAAGCACAAGCAGGAATACAATGAAGCAAATGGTGAGGAGAAGAAGAAGCTCGAAGAAGTTGGCCATTATGGTGAAGAGCACCATGGTGAAGAGGGTGAGAAGAATGCAAAATTTGGCGAAGAAGGCAAGCATCAAAAAGGATACAGTACGAAAGGAGAACATAGCGTTTTCAAAAAGGTATTAATCTTTATAATGCGCATCTTACTGTTTGATCAATTATTTCGTATCAATTTGTTTCGTTAGAATCTATTGAAAAAATGCATTAATTGCGGTTTCTTTGTACTAATAAAAATACGGTATATATTCGTGCGAATATTAAAACTTTCCAAGATTATAAGATTAAGCTTCTAAGGTTTCTGTTATTTGCAACTAACTTCCATGTGATGATTTCTCTCGTTCTGCGTTTAATAATTTAATATATGGACGTATCCAAGAGATGGAGGAGATTCAACCTTCTCCCCCTTTCGAAATAAAAAAAAATCAAAATTAAAATTATAATTTACAAAATAATATTTTTTCATTCAAAGAACGAGGAGATAGTCTAAGCTCCACTATTCAAAAAAGTAAGTTATTAATGCAAAAGAATTGCTATTTATGTGTTAACAAAATTGATAAACTTTCCCCATTCGAAAAAAATTCAAACTACGCCAATGATTCAATATCTTAAGTTATACTCTAAGTTACTACTAAATTAATAAGCCGTTTCTAGACTCATCGATACTTAGCAAGTTTTTCCATTGATATTATAATGTCATCATAATTAAAATTTTCTGTATGAAAATGTTTTATTATAAATAAATTTTATTAGATGTATTGATTTATAATTAAAATAAGAAATTTATTATAATTACGATAAACATTTTAATGTAAGTGAAATCCTAATATTTCTTATATTTTTAAATTAACATGTAAATTGCTTTCAGGATGAATACGAGAAAAAGCACGATTTTTATGATGAGTACCATGAAGATGGAGGAAGCGAGAAGCACGGTGGCTGGCATGAAGAACACGAAGGCAAGAAGGGTGGCCATGAAAAGAAAGGCTATCTACACGCCGGACACCACGAGGTCATTATTTATTAAAATTATCGCTATTATTTTCTTTCATCATTGAAACGCTTGCAACACTGTCACACGTTGATTTGCCTTTTAAAATCGCGGATTTCATCCTTTATTCCAGGGTCATCACGGCGCGGAGAAGAAACATGAGGGAGGTCACCACCATCACGGGAAGAAAGGTCACAAATCTGCAGAGGGACACGACAGCCATCACGAACATGACGAGAAGTATGGCCATAAAAAGGGACACGCATCAGGGCATAAATGGTCGAAAGCAAACCATCACTAACGAGATACCACAGAACTTATTACATCAAATGCGGTTTACTTATATTCATTTTGTCATGAATTTTGTGGACAGACTTGAGACTGTACGTTTGTTACATTCAGTGGCATCTATCATGTGCACTCAGCTTATTAAAGACTTATGATGACAATGATAATTTATTCCTGTCGTCAAGAAAGCGACATACGAATATTTACCTCTAAATATTAAAAGTTATTAGTCTATACATAACCTTTTAATATATGTATATAATAATATATGTATAATAATTAATAAATGTATAATAATACGTTCAATATATATGTGTTTAATATAATTATATTTAAATTTCCTGTAGTTGTAAAGTTATATAATGAATATAATTGTATTATTTAGAAAGAGAGGGATAATTTTTTACAACATTACTGTGTTCACTTTTTTCATCGATGTTGATCGTTGGGAAAAGTGAAAATTTTAGCGTAAAATTGCTTCGATGTTGCATTGTGCGAGCGAATACATTCTGATGCATATGTATGGTATCGAGGCGACCTTACGAGTCTTCGTCTAATGATTTCCAAGTTAAAATTCCCATTTTATTTGAGCAATCTTTATAATTATAACTACGTAATTTTCTCTTTAATTATCTCCGTTATATCTATATTTTCCTCTAGGTTTGTAAAAGTGCTCATTAATTTTGAGCCACAAATAAACTGCTGCATTTTCAAAGGAAATTCTTCAATTATAATTTAATGGATTAACAATCTCCTGCTAAATCCAATTTAGCATTTCAAGAGCTCTTGATTGAAGTAGATGTGTATTCAAACAAGAGTATTTAACCACAAATTATGTAATCATAAGTGAAGGGGTTAACAAGAGAGATTGACTACCGATATTGTCGTAACAATTTTGGCGGTTTATGAATAATAATAATGTGATAGTAATTTTGTATATAAAAATTTTTATAATAGAATATATATTTAGTTTTAGCACCTCTATAAAATAATAATTAAGTGTAGTATAATTATTAAATGTATAATTAAATACATAATTCGATATTAAAAAACACATTTTATTGTAAAAATATATCGAAATCGTTTTCTCTTGAAATCGTTATCAATCTTCACTTTGAGTATATATTATCGCTTCGTTATTATCTTCGTCTCTATTATCTAGCATTTCCATAATTAATTTATGAGCGATACAATGATTGACACAATCATTTGAAACGTGTAGGATATAATCCTGCTACAACGTAGGCATATTACCGAGGGGATTGAGCAAAATGTAATTGTGTGTTCAGTGATCCTATTTTCTGATGAATTTACCCGACTATCAAACTTACTCTAGCAATCGATATGTGTGTAGTCAATCCGTCGCTATCACGTGCAGCGGACTGGTTTGACGCTTATCCTTAATGCTTACGCAAATTTATCTTGCTGCAACAGGGGAATTGCTCCTCAAGTTGATCGACTCCACGATCATATGATCAAGAGAAAAATATTATTTGCAAGAAAATATAGTCAAGCTAGGTATAACTTATAACATTTAAAAAGATCTTTTTACACTTTTTATGATTATTATCATTATATATATATATATATATATATATATATATATATATATATATATATATATATATATATATATATATCACACCTTCACATTGCTTCTTGGAAAGTCTTACTTCTTATTTTCTTGTTAATATTTTCTTCATATTTTTACTTGTTTACCGCAAAGTTTCTAGATACATGTACACTCGCAATAGAAATTAAAATGAAATGGGTATGCGCTCGAGTTTCGTAGAAGAGAAGCAGAAACGACAGCCAAAAAGACTATAGCCTAGAAGGAATAAACCTATTATGTTTGATATTTCTATTATTGCATCGCCAGGGAATTTTCGGGGAGTCTTCAATTTGCGCGGGACCGAAGAAGATAAGGCAAGAGTTCCATGCGGCATTTCTTCCCAAGTATCTTCCCAAGTCCTCCGCGTTCGATTTTTACGATGTCTCGTGTTGAATTTCACACGGGAATAAGAAGGACCGTTGCGTGTATAACGAGGTCAGTAAGCATCCGTCGTGGCGAATACCACCGGGACGATGGGTCCATGGAGATTGCATCGCGGGATTGTTAAAGATGATTATTTGCCGGCATACGAACCATCGTCAGAAAACTGTCAGGATCGCTTCATGCGTCTGACGTAGGTCCATGAATTCTGTTCCCTGCGGCGAGTTGACAGAGAAAATAACTGTGATTTCCCGCCGTATCATCGATTCATGTGATTCTACATCTTAGATCCGGCAGATTATTTTCCACCTGTAGATTCCTCCTCTCAATTTTAACCTGATATTTTTTTGATGATCGAAGATGATAATTACTTTTCGTAAGTTTCCAATTTTAGATATTAAAAATTTTTTATCAGTCAGTTTCTTTGAAACTGATTAAAATCCATTGGAAATTAAAGTAGGAAGTTTTATACTATTTCGTAAAATTTATTTTAAATCGGAGGAGTAAAAATTTATCATTTTTTAAATAATTTAAAAAAAATATGGATTTTTGCTTATTATTCTCGATAACGTTATCTTTAATTAAGAAATTAAATTGGTAAAAAGTATAAACGAGTAAATAATCTATGTTTATTTGAAAAATGTCACCACTTTATATAAATGATATGAAATACTGAAATATCATATTTATCGCGATAATAATCGTTTAATAACTGCTTAACCGTTTAAACTCTCTTAATATTTCGAAATGCTATTGCAGGTGAATCGAATTTATTGAAAGTTTCGAAATGTTCCGAAATGTAGCAATTACTTGCACAATACATTCTCTTCAATTATGCCTTTTAATTAACTGGGATTGCCGAACATTGACGCGGTGTACAAGCAGCTATAATTGCCCCATTTAAGCTTGAATGCACGCAGAAATTTAACGTAACGTCGCGTGAAAAGTCGCGCCGCGAAACTTCTTTTCACTTCAGCTGACATAATCAATCTCAATTTTGCCTAATCAAATAAAATGTATTTATAGTACTTTTGCCTTGAGACTATTCTAGAAAATTTATCGTTAAGATTGTCTTAGAAAAATATAATATATATTCACGTTCAAGACAGAAAAAGATAATGAATAAAATGCAGGTAAGAAAGAAGAAAGTATACGGGACACAATGCGAGGCATATCATGATTCAGGAAACGTTTTTTCGACTTATCACAGCATTGCGGAAAATAAGAAGGAGATAATTTCCATTCCGCTGTTATGTTAATTTGAAAAATCATGGCTTGTGGTTTATGTCGTGGCAAATCCTATCTCGAACTAGCGGAACTGCAATTTGTCTCGTTCGCACAATATATCTCTTCTTTGAAGTAATAATCTACGTGACGCCGAAAACCGCAGGAGATCATGTGTGACTTTGCGCGATGCGCAACATCGTCACAACGTCCGGCATGCAAAGGTACGATATTAATCCGACAGCGGATTATGAAAATCCGACACTGCGACCGCGCGCGCGGTGTGTGTGTGTGTGTGTGTGTGTGTGTGTGTGTGTGTGTGTGCGGAAATGCAAAATTCACTCGAGTCGCGGATCAATGGGCTTGTCAGCGGTGATTGTTTGATTTCCATTGAATAATATTGCAAATTGAGTTTGCGACAGCTGCGTTCCACGCGAACGTTATTTGTTTGTTCTTTTTTTTTTTTTTTGTATAAATCGAGACAAATGCAAGCTGCAAAATATTGCATGTGTAGATGCTAATGTGCGGCAATCGCGCCGATAAAAATGGCGCGGAAAGAAATCGTACAAGTAAAATCCATGAATCGCGATGTGGCATACCATTTCCCATTTCGTGTTACGATATCCCGGCGGATAAAAAGCGTGGCGCGTTGCGCAAGGCGCGATTAATAATAGACTAAATAATGAGAGATCGGGATGTTCTTTCAGATCGGCTCCGCCCGAGCGACGATCTTGTGCAACCGACAGAGAAAGGAGGAAGCCGAAGCGAAGGAGCGACCGATGCAGGACCGATTGCCGGCGGTTCCTTCGACACTCCGAGGTGTCTAATCGCTGTGAAACTGTCATATCACTTGCGAACGGTTTTCTGTTAGAGAAAACGGCTCGATATAATTGCCCGGCCGCGTCGGGCACACGGCTCAGTCTTTGTCGCGGATTCGACGGAACGATGAAAATCTGCCGGAAGCCGGTAGCCATGGTGCTACTATTGCTAATCCATTTGGTAATGTCTCTCGATAATGAGTCTTGAGAAAAGCCTTTGACGACGATAAGAGCGACGATTATGAGCAATAGGAGAATATAAGGACAACATGGATTTAATTAATGCCAATCGCGTGGCGTATCGTGACGTTTTATAATAATATGCGTATACACTTTGCCACGAATGGTGAAATAAATAATTCGCAGTAAATGTGCATACGTGGGGGCTGTCAGCGGCAAAGGTTGGCGCGTGTTTACGTCAACTTTTAATTAAAATGGTGGAGTGGGGCAGAGGGGGGGGGGGAGGGGCAATAAAGTGGCACAGTTTCCGAATATTTGTGAAATATTACACGGGATCTTGTCCGAATTGACATTAGTCTAATTAATATATACGTGACGTATTTTATACTAATAAATTTTATCGCGCTCGTGAATAATTATTTATTGCGAGCGTAAGTACTGGGAGATAAACGGAAGGAAGCCAGCGAATTATTGTTTTTTTCAAATAAATTAAAATTTCATTGACGTGGTTTGTGGTTTGTGAAACGACGCTTGCAGGATGTATTTGCTTTACACATTTGCGATTGTAATGAAATTTACATAATTAATATCGATATACCTATTTGCAGCTAACGTTACAAATCGGTGACGCAGGCCGCAACCACACGAACGTTTCGAACGCCAAGAACGATTCGAAAATTATTCTGGAGGAGGTAATTATCAGCGGAAGTGGAAATGACACTCGAGTAATCGCGAATGCAGTGGCGGAAGATGTATCGAGTCTCGACGGCGAGATACTCTCGCTTCTGTCTGAACGCGAGAAACGGGGAAGTGGACATTCGATACAGACATCGTTGAATTCGGATCGGGACGATCAGGATGCGGCGCAATCGCGCATCGATTTAAATAACGAAGAGGCCGAGCTGGAAATGTTGAATCGAGTGATCGCGAAATACGAGCCACAAAGAATCGCATCGAAGAAGACCAAGAGGAGGATTGGCTCGAATGGTACTCATGGTAAATAGAACAATGTTACTCTTCTTTCGTTATTGCGGAAGAATTTTCTAACAATCGCAATCTTTGTCACATCGGGAAAGTTAATCTTTATATTTCTGTTCTTCAGATGCCCACGATAAGGTGACGGGGCCGCTAGCGGATCTCGAGAATACCTATGCCGAAGTGCTGAGAAATATATCGCAAAAAGCGCCCGAATTAACGGTGAACAATCCCGACGTGACGCTGAATCCATATTTATCCCAGGCAATAAAACAACTGAAACAAGTTTACATTCCGGAAGCGACAATTCATCCTACGATCGACGTTGGAACACAGAAATCACGTTCGAACGTTGATTCCTCTCTTTTATCATCCACCCTAAAAAGCAAGAAGCCGAAAAAATTACCTAAAAAGTATTTGCTATTAGATCGCACCGCCACAACTCCCCAACTCTCCGCCGAAGAATCCAAATCTGACGAGAAAACTGCCAGCAGCGACGAATCGAGCACGCCTCCTGGAGGATACTTCAAAGAAACCAACGGAAAGTTGAAGAACGGATCGCAGCCGCCTGTATCAGCGTCAAATTCCGACTCGACAGAAAAGCCCAAAAGCCATCGCGAATGGAACGTTCAGAACTTCACGATTCGAGTACCCCCGTTTACCTCACAATTGGACAACCGTAATGATAACAGCATTACTGACGTTAATAATTTGAAAAACTTGAATAATGTAAACGCTCAATTCCCGCCGAGGTATGTAGTGCCAAGGCCATTTTCCATATCGCAATCGACCAATTCCCCCGTTACCGCGAACCTCGCAAACGTGTCGTACAGAAAACCGAGTTCCTTGCCAGCGGGCTTCGCCCACCAACGACAGATCGTTTCCTCTGCGAACGTTCTTCCGCTGGTTCTCCCGACAGATCTCTTCACTCCTCTTCCGGTACGCCATTATTCCCCGATAAAGCGCGTGAATCATCTCAATCCTGAAGGAAATTCAGCAACGCTCGTTAGCACTGAGGCGAGCCCGCCGACAAGTCCCGTGGGAGAAAAAACCACTCTTGCAGATAACGGCGCGCTTTATACAGGCGTAATTGGCACCACAAGACCTTTGGTCACCGTCAATAGCCAGCGAAGCTATGGCTCGTCGGATTATTACGCCATTACGGAAAGCCCCGCGGAGACTGTTACGAGGGCGAACTTCGCGACAACTTATATACCCAGTCAAACATCCCCTTCGCACATCGTACAAAGACAGAAGGATTTGCAAAACGCTCATAAGAATGAGTTCTTGCCTAGAATCGTCACTTACAACAATCCCAACAATGAGAAATCAAGTGAAAGCCCAGGGATCGCGCTTTATAATCAATTTTCAAGCTTATATTCGGCTAACATTCCTAATGTATTTAATGCGCCGAAAGCGATTACGCAAGATTTTAAGCAACCGGTGCAGCCTTCGCAACAGCAAGTTTCCAACTTGCAACTTCCTTACGCAACTTTGAAACCTCTTACTCCCATATTGTCGAAAGTTCGACCAATTGCTCCCTCCACCGTACCTTATTACGATAGCAAATTATTCATTTCACAAAATGTAGATGAAAAACTTGACAAGAATGATAAAAAAATTGTTGAAGCAAAGGAGCAATCTCGCAAAGATGCGGATGAGACTGAGAAAGAACATAATGACGATAATGATGATTTAAAAAATTATAGAACTCAAATAAATCCAGAAGTTTATAACGTATATAAAGCGTCGAATAAACAACGCGAGAGAGAAGAACAACGCGAAGAAGAAGAAGAAGAAGAAGAAAACGAAGATCGTTATCCACAACAGAGTCGTAATTATGAATATCAAGATAAATCTCGTGAACAAGATAAAGATGATAGAAGCAGTAAGAGTAGCAAAAAATATGAAAATGTTCGATATGAAGATGACGATGATGAAGAAGAAGAAGTCGATGAAACGAAAGAGGAAGAACGTGTCAGTGTCGAAAAGAGCAAAGATGAAGATAATAATGATCATCATCATCAAAACAATAAGTATGAATATAATTCAGATAATTCTGAAGAAGAACGAGACGACTCATATTATGATCGTAAGAAATATAATAAACCAAAAGACCGTCGTGATAAATATGATTATGGAAGTGACACTGAGCATCGACTTGAAGGAAGAAATAAATATTTTGAATCATTATATAATAATGATGAAACTCGTGAGCGGGATAAAGAACATCGTAATCATGCTGATAAAAAGAAATTAGCGAGTGATAATCATTACAAAAAAATCGACAAGATCGTAGATATAAAGAACCCGAGGATGAGAGTGCTGATGAAGATAAATCATTCGCTCAACCCTCTAAAGATCATCGTACTTATAGACAGGACGAAAGATACAAAAAGGAACAAAATCATGATGAAGATGATAAGAGCAAGTATCAAGCTTCTCCGCGAAGAGATTCTCTTCGTCAAGAATACGCGCGTGAAAAATACAGCGAAAGTAATCCTAAGCATGTACGCAAAGAATATAATCATCAGCGTGTCAAGGATGATAATCATGATAAAGAGGAACCGCGGGATCATGTGCAGGGCGAGACTCAGGAACACGCGCACAAACACGAGGAACATCATGAAAAGAAAGATGGAGGAGGTGGAAAAAATCACAAGTTTGAAGAAGGCGGAGGTGCAGAGCATGACGAAGAACATCACGGACATGAGGGAGAAAAAGGCGAGAAGGTAAATTTCTCATCATATAAAGAGCAATACGATATTTGTTACATCATTGAGCTTTATTTAGTTTTTGATATTATTGCAAATGATTTTTTTTATTGTTTACAGGGATATAAAGTCTGGCATGAGCACGAGAAGGCTAAGAAGGGGCATCACGACAAGGAGCATGCCAGCAAACATTATGACGAGAAAGGCGGCGAGGAGAAAAAACACGACGAGGAGGGTGGGTATCACGAGGAGCATCATCATGGCGAGGGAGGCAAGAAGATAGCGGAATTCGGCGAGAAGGGTGAACACAAGAAGGGTCACAGTACACATGGCGAACATTCGGTGCACAAGAAGGTAATCTAATATGTGTGACACGGAAAGAAATCAAATTTTTAATAAAATAGAAAATTGTTGCGGTATGCAATATTTTGCTAATTAATTTCACAGGACGAATACGAGAAGAAGACGGAATTCTTCGATGAGTTCCATGAAGACGGCGGTGTGGAGAAGCACGGCGAGCACCACCATGAGCACGAAGGGAAGAAGGGCGGTCACGAGAAGAAGGGCCACCATGACGGTTCGGATCACGAGGAGAAATATGGTAAAGAAGAGAAGCACGAGAAAGGTGGCCATCATCACGAGCACAAGGGTCATAAACACGACGAAGGCCATGACCATCATTACGATCATCATCAGAAGCATGGCAAGAAAGAAGGGCACGAGCACGGGAAGAAATGGAGTTTTAAGAAAGGCGACGGTGGCGGAGATCACGGGGGTGGCGGTCACAAGCATAATCGCTGAAGTGAAAGTCGTTCGCAAGGAGAACAGTGATTTTGCAATTATCGCGATCGTTACCATGTTTCATATGATGTTTGATATTGCGCTATCTTCGGAGTAGATCAATATTATGCCGATTAATGTTGATGTCGATTGCGTATTACCAATCGAAATGTTATATATTATTTTAGACAGCAGATCGCTCGTTCTTTCGTTTTTATCTATACAGACGCGCGCTACGCGCGCGCCATTTATTTAATTTTATAGTTTTTAGAAAGGATGTATGGTACAATCCTGTTGTAATAAATCCTTATTACAATTTCTTTTCTTTTATAAATCATTCACTGAATAATAACTTCTCTCAATAAATATCGATAAGTCTGACTGTCAATGCACAGTAACGTTCGTTTTCGTTGTATCGACATCGAGATATCGAGATCAAGAGACCCAATCGGCATCGCAACAATAAATTCGATTCGATTTAACACGGCCTTTTTTAGATAGGAGGAGGATTGATTGAGACATATGACATATTATGCGCTTTAGCTTACGCAGTTATACTTATCTGATTAAGCAAGAGTGAAAAAAAAACGATCGAAACGTTGCAGTGAGCATTAATAGAAGCGGAGGTAATTGATTGATATTTGCAAAATAAACTTCCTAAATATGTAAAACTCATATATATCATAAACATATCATAAATTTTTATTTTTCCAAAGAAAATTTATTCGTATATTTATCGCTTGACATTTAGAAAGAAAAAATACTCGCTATTAAGGAATTACTATTTATGGATAAGATGGTAATTTTATTATTTGTTAGTTTTATTTTATTTGTTTTAGTTGTTTTATTTTATTCGTATTTTTGCTTGTATTTAAACATTTTCATATTATATAAAATATGTTTAAATTTAAAAAAATTGCAATTTTCATTACCATGAAATTACCAATCATTTTTAAAAATTACATTTCTAATCAATCAAATTTACTTTATAGCTATTTCATGATTGCACTAATGAAATGATATCCCGATAATGAAATAAAAATTTTATCAAGTGTGACTCCGATCATCCCCAACTAGAAAATAATAGAATTAATTAACAGAAAACGACACTTCGCTATTGTGCACAATTGAACAATGTCAATGATGAAGTTTACTGGAATTGCAATTCCCAATTGTGTTACTTCTGTTAACTCTTCGTCTTCTTGCTTATAATTTTGCTGTAAACGTGAAAATAATTCCCATTTTATATCTCCTTTAGGAGGATTAATATCCACATGGGATTATAATATAGCGAGTATGGGCGGTACAACAGAGCCATTTACGTCTCTTTAATGTCTTCGTTCAGAGAGGAGAGACGTTAAAAAAGTTTCCCTCCCCGGGCGCCTGTAAGAATTCTCCAAAGCTAGCTTAACGAGAACGACCGTAAGGATTAATTCCGCGAGAGATGCATCGTTCTTGATCTCTTTATCTCCTTTCCTCATCCCTCGTCCAGTTGCGCTGATAATACACTCTTTCGTCTTCGTTATCTCCGTTGCCTACGAGTATCGATCGGTCGTGCGGCATTCAGTTGGGAATCAGGAGGGACCTCCAGCGAGAGGGAGAGAGAAGGAGAGTCGCGGATGCAAATGACAGACGATTTACGACCCGTACTTTATTAGAGAGGCTATCGGTCTCTTTGGCAGCCGGCGATAAAATATCTCAAGTAAAATCGGACCAATATCGGAACTTTGTTAATGATCGAGATGTCGGTCGAGGGACATTTAGCGTCGGCGTTTGTCGACGATTGTGTCCGGTGCTTAATTCACACCAGTGAGAATCGCCAGCGGCTTCATCCGTTTCCGCGTTATCGTCACGTTATCGCACGTTATCAGATATTCATGCTTTTACGAGGATAATACGTCGGTACTACGAGAAGTGCGGCTTTTCCTTTTTTTTTCCCCCCTCTCTCTTTTCTCTCTTTTCTACTTCCCCTTTATTCTTATCGCACGAGCACTCGCGCATGTGCGGCAGAATGCATCCGATAAATCCGGATGAAGGCTAAATTAGATGTAATATAATAGCAGTTTATTAAATTTTGCAGGGAAAAATATGATAGTGTGAAAAAGCGCGTTCCTGAAATCGCGTCGAGTTTCCCGGCATTTCTTTGGCATTTCTCGCTGCAAGAATTATTCGTATCTCAGCAGTCTCCTCCTCTTTGACGTAGTAATTTTAGATCGATGATATTATAAATTCCTAAGAGAAAAAAAAGGTGAATAAAAAGAAAAAAAAAAATAAAAAGTTTTCTTTTTATTTTCGTTTCATTTTTGTTATTAATTACGGATGCTCTTAAATAAAACTATCGCGCATCGGTGGTATGTATTTAATATAAAAAATTATCTTAAGTGCCCCTTTCCATAAATTAATTTTTTGTGTAAACGCATTTGTTTCAACATAACGTACTGACTGTTAAATTTTTTTTTATCTTTTTTCTTGCGGAGATGAACAAATGTACGTGACGTTTTTCTTGACACAGTCATTTATAAGTGTCTTCCAACTTTATTGGAACAAAATCACTATTTTAATTGTTAGTAACATTTAAAGTACGATATTTCGCTGTAATATCAAAGACGTTTCAAATTACTCATGTTCGTCTATTGCTAATGACTAACGACGAGAATTAATTCGAACTCGAGCAAACGCTTCAGTGTAACAGTATATTGCGAATCATGATCAATGTTTGAAGTAGATACGGACGAATTGATTAAACTTGGTCGATAGTAACTTCTATTAGTGTCTGAGCAAGGTGCAGTACGCACTTTAGAATATCCGTGATTTTTCATCACCCTCCGGATAAAAATCAAAAGTGTACCGTGAGTAGAATCGAAATATATACAACAGATGTTTACGAGATGTTTATTAGATCTTGATATTATTATATTATTATGTTTGGATTTTTTCTTAACTGTTTTCTTCTCCTCTTTGATCTTCCTTCGCTTTCGCCGAAGTTCCCGCGGTATGATCAAATAAAACGTGATTTCTCGTCGTATTGCGCGTCGCAGGGGGTAAATATGCAAATACCCCGCCCCTCCCGCGCGGAAATCTCCTCATCTCCCACGGGGCGTTTTCCAGTTTTTTTCGCGAGCGAGAAGTTTTACGACGATGCACCGCGACGAGGAGTCTGGCGAACGAGCGGGACGCAAGGGAGTCAGAGCTCGTTTACGAGTGGTTTAGCAGAGAATCCCACGAAAATCCCCCGTCGCATGTGGTTGATGCGTAATGTGCCGTATCCAACGGTAGATATCCATAAACGTTTAACCGCATCGCCGCGGATTTAGAGTGTTTCCCCTCGCCTCGCGGAAACGGGGCGCAGTTTATGGGAAAACTTTCGTCCGGCGAGAGGGAATCCCGTGTTTCCGCACACGTATAAGGGTCACTTATACGACAGATATGCCAAGCGACGTCGTAATTATAGGGATGAGATTGTTCATCAGAGGGAGGTTGCGAAACGGAAGCGGAGGAAAGTGAGTTTCCGCGAAATGAAACTGGCACAACATTCGAAGCAAGCGGCATAATCCGATAAGAATGCAATTTATCTTTCATTTGAAGGGGAGCTTTATAATACGCGGAGGCGTATCAATTTGCTCGCGCGACTGTATTCTATAATAATTATTTTTTTATCGTTCGAGTAGAAACCATATGTCTTCCGGGAGTGAGACAGCGTATATCTCGTAATAACTTCCGCGATAATATTATTTTGTTTGGACTTCACGTAAAAGTCACACCGCTCAATATCAGTGCTTAATAAAAAATTAATATTCTATTATTATTACATATTTATAATCCAACGTCAAGATAAAATCTCTTATATCTTGATCGGATAATAGTCGCGCGAAATGAAAGTTAAACGAAGCGGCCCGCTCGTTGGCGGAGTGACGCAAAGTGACGGCCGTAACTTTCGCGGCGCGCACCGGAAGCTCATTTTCCAGAGGATTCGCGAAGTGGCACTATTCGCGATTACCCCGCTTCCTCTCTCCCCGCCGGACAATTCGGTCCGCCGTTGCAATTGGGCGATGTGGGAACCGCGCGTGGCGTCATGCGTCGTCCCGTCGTCCCGGCGTGAATCCGCGTCTTCACGC